GTATACTGGATAAATTAATGACCTTATTATTGCTAGAACAAATAGCACTAAGTTTAACTACTTCCTTATTGTTTCCATGCTTCCTTGAACTGATATTAATGCCTAAATTCCTTAATTTCTTATCATGTCATTATCTATTGATCTTATCCATCCTGTCCGTCATCCTGTCCGCCATATTCTGCAATTTGAGAAAGTCTTCTTGACAAAACAGCAGAGAAATGGATTGTCTTTAATATTACCTTTACATCCAAAGTAATGGCAGTATTGCTTTAAGCGTAGCAGATTTGAGTGACCTGGATCTGAAATTTAAAAAATAAAATTTTTTTTTCTATATATCATTTTTTCAGGACTATTTGACATTTTTTTATACCGTTTTTGCATATAGGATGAAGGAGACATCTACTTGGTTTAATGAAAATGGACTTATAGTTCTGATTGTATCCTGACATTGGTGTAACTTGTTTGAGGGAATATATTAAGATTTTTCACTATTTTTTCTTGATCTACATGCAATCTTTATTATGAGAAACTGCATTTTGGTGTTTGCTCCTCACTTCAAACATGCCAATCTCTTTGAATAAAGTTAAATATTATAAATGGAGGGCATCATCTTAGTTTGTAGCAAGACTTTCTTCGATATCTGAAGTCTGGGTCTCCATATACACAGGATGTATTCCGTTGTAGATACAATGAGTAAATGGGTTTCGATTAGTCTCTTAAGATAACATTGTTAGAGATACTTACATTTTATATGAAAATGAAGAGATTCGTTAGCTGATCTCGCCAGAAGATGACGGTTAACTCTCTTTATTCTGCAACTGTTTGGCTTTACTTCACCATTCATATTGACGCAATCCAAGAGCTATCCTTCCTCGTCTCGGGTGAAGCTGAAACGAAAGTTTAACTATTTTTTATTCAAAACGAGGGAGAATATCTTGTGAACTGGGTCAACAGGAACGCTGAAGTGAAGCCAAACGGCTGCAGAACAACGGGAATTAGCCATTGCCTTCCGGTGAGACCAGCCAATAAAGTTATTCAATTTCATAAGAAATGTATATCGAAAACCAAATCCCCTGAAGAAGAAATGAACATGGCTAGGCCCTATCTTAGGCATAATTATCAAATTGTGTATGCTTTCCTGCAGAACAAGTAAAAGAGCTCCAGCCTAATTGTCGTATCACAGCCAAATGGCTGCAGAATAACAGAAATCGGCCTTCCTCCAGTGAGATCAGCCAACAACTATTTTTATAATGCACTTTCATATGAAATGGGAGTATCCTTAATTATTTCTTCATGTTCTGGCTTTTGTAATCCTTAAACATTCTTTTTTTCTGCTCATTTTTGATTTATTAGGCCCCCATAGCATGCATATTAAGATAACCTAAAAGCTAAAATATATCTGAGAAATAAATTATTTGTACCAGAAACTTAGTAGTCTGACTAAATATGATCAGTTTTTAGTGCAAGATAATATTTGTATTACCTACTTGTCTTTTAAGGACTTTATTTTAAGGCCTACTTGTCCAGATGCAACCAAGGGCTTTCGAGAAATTCTTGAAAGCAGCTTTGGGGCTAACTTATCCAAAAACTAGTATCTTGTTTATACCTATTTAGAGCTGTTTATCAGAGATAAGGGCCCAGTCTCTTCAAAGGAGTCAGTCTAATTTAATCAGAGGAAAATCCGCCTATTCATCCTCTACCTGCAAAAATACATATCACATTCTTATTCAGCTTCATTCCTTTCATTTTATTACATTGCTGCTATTATTCAGGTTTTTCACGATGTCGCTTATCGTGCCAAGGGCCTGAACGACCTTCTTGCCGGTGTCGATGAATTTCTCAGTGCGTCGACCGTTCTTCCTCCCGGTGAATGGGATCCTTCAATTCGCATTGAACCACCTCCCTTTGTTCCTTCACAGGTAGGTCAACAGATTTGCTCGCTAAGACTTGTGGGAGACGGAGGTAAACTGTTGTTTTTGACAAAGGATTTACGTTTTTGCTTTGATTTCTTCGGAATCTTCACAAGCCTTCTAGCCCTCTAGTTCTAATTTTATCACATTTATGTCTTACATTTGTCTAACAAAAGTCTATCGATCGGTCTAAGAAAAATTACTTTTTTGCTTATCTGTGTGACTTAGAATACACCACACTTTAGAACCCGAAACGCATTCATTGTGATGTCATGGATGCTCCTATTAACCTAAATCGATGTGAATTTACTACCCTATATGGACATGGCATCAAATAATAAATACTTTAATCTATCTGCCTCGTAGTCTGACTTGACTTTATTGGTTCCCTGACACTCTTTTTTATCAGTTAGCCCCTTTAAATTAGTCTATAAAATTCTTCAGACGCAGTCTTGCTTTCCAAAAGGTATTCTCGAAAATCTACTTCTAAATGTAAAATAAGTAGTGTAGTCGATTTCTACAGCAAATACAACTCTGCTCCGACAATCCCACTCCAGAATGTGATATGGGAGAATGTCTGGCTTTCCTTGAAATTATCATCTACCCTGTGACCCAAGGAGACTCGTGGGAGTGTGGCGAAGTGGTAAACATTTCGAGATTATACCCTGCACTATTACGACTCAAGTCCCTTTGAAGGTGATGATGAGACCAGTTCAGACAATGTCGAAACTGCATTCAACTTTTGTCTGCATGAATATACCTATTGGGATAGTAAGAATATGTGAAATTCAATTAAAGCGTAAGACTCCCTTATATCATTGTGGAAATCTTTAACCACAAATCCTTCATCACCTTAACGAAATAAGATGAATACACAGCATATATTTAAGTTTCCCTTGATACGGCGAGCAGAAGGATTTTTAGATTGGTCTGACTGGAAGCTAAAGGAGATTGTGCCGGCATCGCGACTGGATTTCTACTTAAGCTGCAACATTCCAACCTAGATTGAATCAGTTATGATGTTTCGACCATCGTGTTACAGACATAATCTCCATAAATAATGGTTTAATGCCCTGAAAATTGTCGGCTACACCAGAATAGAGGAAAGCCTAACACGGATTAATCAGGCTTGCGGGACGGTGGGTGGAGGACCTGTTTGCACAAATCTACAGCCGCAATTCCAGGCCAATGCTCGTTGGTTTCCGATGAGGCCAATTTACGAGCCTTTTCCGCTCGCCGTTTTAAACGAAGCTTAAGTAGTCAAAACCAAGAGTATATTAAGGGGTTTTTCCCAAAACAGCTGCTTTCCTCTTATTTGGTTTCCGGAAGTTGAAAAA